TTATTTTATATCTTTGAGGTACTGCATTGTCTGCAAAAGAATTCAATCCCACAGAATAAGCTCAAAAATGTATTAAATTAAAAGGCCTAAGAAGAACAATATAAAAAGCTTTCTTTAACAACAGGTGACTTACCTTAGGTCACAGAACACAGAATTTCAGAGATGGAAGGAATCTAAGTGCTTTTTCACACTACTAGTCATCTTGAATTAATGCCCAGCAGGAAGATATGAAACAAAATTGAAGCAATGTACAATTTGTAGAAGACAGAGGTTAAGGTCAAAGTATAAGTATACCCTAAGCATCCTATGTAGGTCTAGGAATGAAGTAACATATCTCACTTGAAGAGATAAGTGCTTAGCAGTTAATAATAGGAAAAAGAATATTGTAGAAATTTTTACTTAGGCTATTAATTTATGATCTATAGGGAAACTAACCTGCAATGAATTGTTTCTATGCTATTCTGGGAAAAATATATGTTTCAATAGTAGAAAATTAAAAACTTCCAAAGAAAAATAGATTTATTTCCTTTCTGTTTACATGAGTTTTTGCACATGTTAAATATTTCTTCATGTATTCTAGGTATTAATTCCCTGTCCAAGATGCATGTGGCAAAGATCTCCCATTATGTAGGCTTGTTCTTCATGCTCTTGTTTCTTTTGCTATGTAGAAGATTTTTAATTTGATGCTGTCCCACTTATTGATTCTTGGTTTTATTTCTTGCACTTTAGGCATCTTGTTAAGGAAATCAGTTCATGTGCCCATATGTTGAGCCTATGTTTTTTTCTAGCACTTGCAAAGCTTCTGGTTTAATTCCTAGGTCTTTGATCCACTTTGAATTGACATTTGTGCAGTTTGAGAGATAGGGATTGAGTTTCATTCTTCTACATATGGATATTCAGTTTTGACAGACCATTTGTTAAAAAGGCAATCTTTTCTCCAACATATGTTGTAGCACCTTTGTCAAGAATCAGACGACTGTATCTCCATGGATTTGTCTTTGTGTCCTTTATTCTGTTCAGTTGGTCTTCATGTCTGTTTTGGTGCCAATACCATGATGTTTTTGTTACTATACTTCTTAGTATTATTTGAGGTCTGGTATTGTGATGCCTTTTGCATTACTCTAATTGTTCAGGATTGCTTTGGCAATTCTGGGCCTCTGGTTATTTCAAACAAATTTTAGAACTGTGTTTTTTAAATTTTGTTTTGTAGTTCTGTGAAGAATGTCATAAAGAACTAAAAAACTTAACATAAAACCCCCAATAATCCAATTAATAGATGGGCAAAAAAATAAAAAATAAAAAAAAGAAAGAAAGAAAACCCTAATCAGACACTTCTCAAAAGAAATACAAATGTTCAACAAAGATATGAAATAATTTTCAATATCTCTATCAATCAGGGAAATGCAAATAAAAGCTACATTGAGATTTCATCTGATTCCATTTAGGCTGGCAGTTATCAAGAATACAATAATAATAATATATGCTGGAGAACATGTAGGAAAAAAAGTACAATCATACATTATTGGTGGGACTGCATACTGGAAAGCATTATGGATATTCCTCCAAAAAGTAGGAATGGAACGACTTTGGCCCAGCTATCCCACTCCTCAAGTTTTACAGCAGTACAGTTCACAAGTTATGCACCAGCCCAGATGCCTATTAACAGATAAATGGATGAAGAGAATGTGGTATATATACACAATTAAGTTTTACCTGGCCATAAAGAAGAATGAAATAAGACATTTGCTGGTGAATGGATGGACCAGGAGAACATCATCTTAAGTGAAATTAGCTGGACTATGAAGTCAAAAGTCAAATGTTTTCTATCATATGCAGAAAGTAGAACAAAATAAGAAGAAAACGAAAGGCAGGGGAGATGCTATGAAGATAGAAGAGAGATCAGTGGAGTAGAAGACTGGAATTGAAAGGGAGGGTGGAAGAATGGAAACAGGGAGTAATGATAAAATGAAATTAAACCAATTATCTTGTGTACATATATGAATGTACTAAAGTGAATTTCACCTTAGAAATAAATAGAAGGAAGAGCAGTGGAGTAGAATAAAGGAAACAGGGGAAGGGAGGAAGGGAGTAAAAGAAGAAGTACCCAAAACTGAATTGGAACAAATTAAATTCCATATTTGTATGATTATGTCAAATGATCCTAAATATTATGTTTAACTATAATATACTCATAAAAATATTTCTGAGCCCTTGAGAGAAATCTGAACACTGAATATTTGATGATATTAAAGAAATTAATAGTAATTTTTAAGACATAAAAATGTGAAAATGTGAAAGTAAACTTTAAAATATCTGCTTTTGAAGAGCCTCAGCTGACTGTGTCCTATGTAGTAAATATGCTTCTTTACTGTGTATAATGTTGGTCAATGTACCATACTTAAAACACAAGTATCATAAACAGCAATATGCTATCTTACATTCTTTATTTTAAGTAAAATTTCAACCTTTTCTATAGTTGGTTAATTTTTCATAACCTAGTCATTTTCTAGAGTCTTAAAAAATATTCTAAACCTAATAAGGAAAAAAGTGTATCTGTAAAATATATATAAATGTTTCTGTTAAGAAAATAATGGCATGCATTTCATGATAGAAAGTAATTCAATAACTTTAATCTTACTATTTTACTCATATTAGTTTATTAATGTTCCTGACTGATGGCATAATTGAAGCTCCAAAACATTAATATAACTAACAATATCTAGAACATTGCTAATTTAGTCTTTCTTATTGCTGTGATGGAAAGACCTGACAATAACAATGCAGAGGAGGAAAAGTTTATTTGGCACTCATGATTTCAGAGTCTCAGTCCGTAAATGATCAATTCCATTGTTCTGGGCCTGATAAAAGGCAGATCATCATAGAAGAAGGGTATGGAGGAGGAAAGCAGCTCAGGACATCACCAACAGGAAACAGAGAGGGCTGTACTCACCAGAGAAAAAATATTTGGCACAAAGTCACATCCTCAGAGATCTACCCCCTACCTGCCTATGGTTACCACCCAGTTAATCCATTCAAGTGGATTATTTCTCTGATGAGGTTAAATTTCTCATAACCAAATTATTTCACCTCTAAACTTCCTCTCATTGCCTCACATGAACTTTTGGGGGGCATCTCATATCTCATCCACAACAATTGCTTTAACTCTATTTGTATGAAATATTAAGCTTTCCATGGGTAGAAATTTAAGAGAGATAACTCCAACTTCTCCTAAGGACAGATGGAATGATGATATTAAAGTGATTGTAATGTGTATTATTCAGATTTTAGTCTATATCTTTTTTCTTTCTTTGGTTGATCACCTTATAATTAGTGATTTGACTTATTTCTCTAAAAACAAGGAGTGGTCGTTAAAACATGACCACCATTATTAGGGCTTATGAGAAAGAAGAAAGGACTACCATTTTTTGGAAGGACATTTCCTCTGCAGCCAGGATTGGTGCCTCTACAAGGAATGACCTGGGATCTTTGGTGCCATCCTAAAGAGTAAGATAGAAGCACATTGAACTGCAAGTAGCCCAAATGTCTACAATAACCAGTATATCAGACATCTGCCAAGATTTTCTAGCTATTTCAGATAGACAGGAACAAGGACTGGATGTATCAATGGTAATAGCAATTCTGAAAATGAGAGCTAAGCCAATACAAAGAGTTTGTTTCCATTAATATTACATATACAACATATATGTATATATACACACACATATATATGTACACATATATGTATAATGAACACATATGCATGTATATATGTATAGATATGTATCTATAGATATATATTCTTTAGATTGCTACAGTCTGGGAAAATTCAAATTGCAATATAAATCTAAATTATTTTTAAAATTTCTACTTCTTTGGAACTAATTTATATCATACATTTGAAAATTAGTTCTACTTTACACTTTTCTTTTGATACTGACCTGATAAAAATAGTTAAACAATGACTCCTTCTGGCAAATAAACATCACCAAGGAAACTAGAAAATACTTTGAGATGAATGAAAATGAAAACACATCATGGTACAATGACTGTGTAATATGGCTAACATAATGCTTAGAGTGACATTTATTTATGTAAATGCCCATATCTGAAAATAAGAATAAGAATAACTTCCAATCAATTTCCTAACTTTATTCTTATAAATCTGGAAGAAAGGTTAAAAAGAAAAAGAAAAACTCCATAGGTAGCAGAACAAAGAAAATAATAAAAATTAGAGTAGAATAAATTAAGAAGAGGATAAAAATAATAGGCAAATGAACAAAACCAAAGTATGTTTCTTTAAAAATGTTGACAATATTGAACACTGGTGTGAGCATGCTAAAAAGAAGTGACTTAAATTGCTACAATTGATAATGAGTTGACATTACTAATGCCTTTGCAAAAATAAATATGAATATGAGAATTACAATGAATAGCTATATGCCAATAAACTAAATAACTGCCAAATTGCTAAAACATAAATATTCAAAAGTAACTCAATAAGAAATACAAAATGTTAGCATACCTATAATAAGAAAAGAAATGGAATTAGGAACTTAAAAATATCTACAAAGAAAAATCTCAGTCCTAGATGGCTTCCCTGATGATTTCTCCCAAATATGCAAAGATTTAATTAGAATTCTTCACAAACTCCTCTGAAAAACAGAAGAGAAGGCAATACTTATGAACTCACGCTATGAAGAAAGTATTTCCTTGATGTCAAAACAGACAAAAAAACAACTTGAGGAAAGATAACTGCATATCAATACATTTTATGATTATTGACACAAAAATTTCAACAACATACTTGCAAACTCAATACAGCAATAAAAAAAAGCATAGGAAAGAAGACAATTTTATACCATGTTCAAATGGGATTTATCCCAGATTGGTTTACCATGTGAAAAGTAATTAATGTAACATGCCTTCTTTATAGAACAAAGAACAAAAAAACGTATGTTCATGACAATAGATAATAAAATATTTTCTTTTTTTTTTCACAGAATCCAATATACTTCCGTGAATTCTTCAGCAAACTCAGAATAAAAAGGAATTTTCTCAAGTGATAAAGACATCTATAAGAAATCCACAGATAACATACTGTTATGTGTTGGATATCCCCCAAAAGCTCACATGTGAGACAATGAAGGAAGGTTTAGAGGAGAAATTATTGAGTTATAACCTTAATCTAATCAGTGAATTAATCCCTGATCGGATTAACTGAATGATGATTAGAGGTGGTGGGGTGTGGCTGGAGAAAGAGGTTCATTGGAGGCGTGGCTATGGGGTATATATTTGTATCTGGCAAGTGGAGACCTCTCTCTGCTCTGATCATTATGTGAGCTGCTTTGCTCTGCCACACTCTTCTGCCATGATGTTCTACCTAACCTCAAGCCCAGAGGAATGGAGCCAGCCTTTTATGAACTAACACCTCTAAAACTGTGAGCCCTTAAGTAAACTATTCCTGCTGTACAACTGTTCTGATTGGGTCTTTACGTCACAGCAGCAAAAAAGCTGTCTAAAACATAGTGAAAGACTGAATTCATTTCCCCTTAAGATCACAAATAAAACAAAGATCCCCACTCACACCAATTCTATTCAGTATTTTACCTGAAGTTCTAGTTAGTGCAATTAGGCTAGCAATATAAGTAAAAGACTCAATTGGAAAGGGAGATATAACCTGTTTTTATTTGCAGCAACATGATCTAGTATATAACAAATCCCAAGGAATTCATTAAAAAACAATTAGAACTAATAAACAATTTTGGCAAGACTAAAGAATACAAGATCAATAAATACAAATCTATTTTATCTCTACATACTAGTAATGTACAATCTGAATATGATATTAAGAAAATAATACATTTTGAATAAAATACTCAGGAATAAGCTTAACAAAAGAGGTGCAAAACCTATAGTCAAAAAACTAGGAAGTATTGTTGAAAAAAATCATAGGAGACACAAAGGAATGGAAAAATATCCTTTGTTAATTGGTTAGAGGATTTATTTTATTTTATTTTTGAGAGAGAGAGAGAGAGAGAGAGAGAGAGAGAGAGAGAGAGAGAGAGAGAATTTTTTAATATTTATTTTTTAGTTTTTGGCGGACACAACATCTTTGTTTGTATGTGATGCTGAGGATCGAACCCGGGCCGCACGCATGCCAGGCGAGCGCACTACCACTTGAGCCACATCCCCAGCCTCTGGTTAGAGGATTTAATATGTAAAAATGCTAATCCTTGCCCATATTGATTTACAGAGTCAACATAATTCCTAACAAATTAACAGCTTTCTTTTTTAATTGTAAATTTAAAAACTTATTCTAAAATTCACTAATCTGTATTTTCAACTTGATTGGATCAAGAGTTGCCTACCATCTTTTAATCTCTTTCTGGCTGGGTGGATGAGGGTGTTTCCAGCAATGATTGACATAAGGAACAGCAAACTGGCAGGAGAAGGTAGGCAACACAGTCCAATTAGCTGGGGACCTGGATATAACAAAACATGGAAGAAGGAGGAAGCCAACATAGGCATAATCTCTGCTGGTCTTGAGTAGGTGATTTGGATGCTGCTGCAATTGCTTGAAGACTTGGAGTTTTCTTTACTCTTCCAAATTGGATTCTGACTAGTGATTCTCTAAGGAATTTCCATGTCTTTAGTCTTGGACTGGGTTGGCCTTTTTTTCTGAGGCTCCAGCTTCTAGCTTCAGCTTCTAGTTCCTCTGGCTCTCAGGCCTGCAGAAAGCCGTTGTAGGACTGTCCAGCTTCTGACTGTATAAACCAATCTAATAAAACCCCTTTCTTCTAATCATACATATACACATCCTGTTGGTTCTGCTCCTCTAGAGAATACTGACTAATATATTCATATGGAATTGCAAGGGACCTAGAATGTCCAAAGCAATCTAGAGAAAAGAAAAAAGTTGTAGGAACCACATTTCTACAAAGTTAAAAGAATCAAATCAGCATGGTACTGGAATAAAAGAATACATATAGGTCAATAGATTAGTATTTTGAATCAAAAAATCCACAAGTTATCTTTATGGTCAATTAACAAGAATATCAAATAATTTAATTGAGGAAGATTTTTTTTTCAATAAATGGTGTGGGAACTGCAGAATATCCATATACAAAAGAATAAGTGATGGACCAATTCCATACAACATATACAAAATTATGTCAGATTTATCATAGATGTATATCTTTAGCTAAAACTATGAAGATCTAAGGAAAACGTAATAGTAAATAGTAGTATCTAGTATCTAGATAGTATCTAGAAAATACATAGTAAATAGTAAATCTTCATGATTGTTAAGTAATGTCTTCTTAGACACTACACTAAAAGCACCACTGACCAAAGGGGGAAAACAGAATTTTTTTAAACTAAAAACTTGGACTGCATAAAATAAAATAAAGATAATAATAAGAAAACCCATACAGTGAGACAACATTTATAAATTATTACCTGATAAGGGACTATTATATATATATATATATATATATATATAAAATATAATCAGAATTATTTTAACTCTGCAATAAAAAGACAAGTAAATGCAATTTTAAAGTACACAAAGGATATGAATAAATATTTCTCTGAAAAGATAGACAAATGGACAATCAGCACCTGAAAAGATCTTTAATATGTAAGTCATTAGAGAATGTAAGTTGAACCCCAATGAAATGCCAGTCCATACCCACTAGGATGTTATCATCAAATACAGAGTAAAAAGAGTTGGAGAGAATGTGGAGAAATGGTAACACTTGCATGTGTTGGTAGGTATGTAAAACTACAGTTGCTTTGGAAAATTGACAGGTCTCAAAAATGTTAAACCTAAAGATGAAACTCAGAATTTTCACTTCTAGGACTATAATTAAGAATTGAAAAACCTCCATTTGTGCAAGATCTTGTGAATGAGTATTTATAGCACTATTATTCCTAATTGCCCTGAGGTGGCAATAACCCAAATGCTCATCAATTTATGCATGGCTAAATAATGTATGACATATTCCATTATTTTGCCACAGAAAGGAATGAAATACTGATTTAAGCTATGATAGGGATAACTCTTGAAAACACTATGTTATTGAGAGAAGAATGTCACTAAAGATTAAATTCCATTATATAAAATTTCCAGAATAGTCAAAGGTTTAAAAACTGAAACTAGTTGCCTACGGAGGGGAGTGACTGTTAACAGATGCATGGATTCTTGGGGGTAAGGGAGTTGACTAAAAAATGCTCTAAAATTAGATTGTGAGATTGTTGCATAACTGTGTGCATATACTAAAAATATTGAGTTGTGTACCTTTAATGGATGAATTGCTTACTATTCAAATCATATCTCAATAAAATTTCTAAAAAAATGGTATTGTGGTATTTCTACTAATTTGAGTTGGAACCTTTTCTAGTAAATGACCATAATGAATTAACTAAATATTGAAAAGTTATGGCTGAATGGAGTGATTAACATTGGAAAGTTCATATTTGGTTCATGGCTCTGAAAATGAAATTATATTTTCAAAATGTTTACAAGTTAACATCTGTCTCTTTTCATAAATTCCAGTGGAAAGTGTAGTCAGTTTTAAAATCAGACTTACTCACTGGTCTTACTCCAAGAGTGGCTAGCTTTACAATGGCCAGAAAAATATCCTGTGTTTAGTCTTACTGTACAAAGATGAAGGAAAGTCACGACAAACTCAAAGGAGTCCTTGATATAATATTATTTCATATATTATTCCAGAAGAATGACAAGCTTTTAATGGATCCTTTGATGGTAACTGTCCATATGAAAAAAGAAATAAATTCTATGAAATATGTAAATAATGTAATTTCTAAATTAGTTGCTTCTATTTATCTTGTTGTTGTTGTTGTAGTTTGGTTTTTTAAAATGCAATGCTTACTTTAAAATATCCTAGTATTAGCCAAATACATTTTGGGTTCCAACAAGTTAATTGCTCTTGTATTATAGATTTAAGTCTTTATACATTACTATAATTTGTATTCTTCAAGGAAAAACAACTGTTATTTGAACACAATTTTGCTTTTGAAGTGGGTTGAAGAGTCATTAATTGTACTTCCAGATAAAGCAATTTGGGAGGACAAGATGTGAGATAGAAATATATCTTGAAAAGTGATTAATGACATCGAGGGAAAGAATAAATAGCAGGTTCCCTTGGAAGTGGACTGTAAACACCCAATGTCTGAATGATATTGTGCATCTGCGACTCACAGCCCTGCACCTAAGACTTCAATTTTTCTGCCATTAGAAACACAGCTGTTATGTATCTTCCGCAACTGCAAAATGAAAAATAGGAAAAAATCTTCACCGTCTCCTTAGTTATTGATGTCTACTTTTATAAAGTTATTGTCTTTATTTTCCTTTATTTGGCAATATTCTCCAGTGACCAACAGACAGGTTGGAGTGATTAAAAAGATGGAAACATTGTACCTGAAAGAAACAGGTAAATAAAGGTAGACAATGACTAAGAGCTCCCTTTGGGGCTTTAATCCTCCTGTTCCTAAATGCTGAGTTAATCCTTATTACCCCTTTTTATAACTGGCATTTATTAGTTAATTTTAAAATAATTTTCCCCCCCATTTGATAATTATGAACAGTTGTAGGCTTAATGTGAAATGAAAGTTCAGGAATTCACATGTAGACATATGTGTATAAAGAATCAAGATCAGAATCCTTCTTTTCCCATAAGACTTCGAAATTGTGAATCTGGACTTATACTGGTCATGTAAAAATAAGCTTAGACTAACAATTTTCACTTACTTGAATGTCATCTGTACTGCCCCAAATCACTTTAATTTGCAATATTGAAATTTCTGAATTTGTTTTCTCTCAAAAATAATCATGCAAATTCCCAATAAAATAAAACAAACACATACACCTTTTCTCTTTCTTTCTTCCTTCCTTCCTTCCTTTCTTTCTTTCTTTCTTTCTTTCTTTCTTTCTTTCTTTCTTTCTTTCTTTCTTTCTTTCTCTCTCTCTCTCTCTCTCTCTCTCTCT